AGCCTACATTATAGACCTATTGTCTTGTGTATGACCCTCTGTCCTGTGTGACAGTGAATACCAGCATTATCCACACCCTAATAAGACCTAACTTAATTCCTCAGATTAGGCAAAATTGTAATTAATTTTTGTCAATAAAAGATGTTAATAGTAATAATAATGTAGGTCGTGTACATATCTCGGACGAGCGTACAGAGAGTGCCATGTTCTGGAGACTGCTTTCCTAGCGGGGATGAGGGGACTCGACGCCACTATAGGCATACCAAACGATCCCCAAACCACTTGGCCTGCTACCATCGTCGTCCTCGACGATCTGCATGATGAAGTTCTTGGTCGTGTATCTTATTAACCTTCATGTACAGTGGCCTTAAGGTGGCGGGGCGAGGTCCTCAGAGGTCAGGGTAGTTAAGCCCTGACGACGGGAGGGTTTGATCTAGAGTAGGGCGGAGTGGTGTGGCCCTTGTGTACACGACAAGCGACAGGGAGCCATATATATACATACATATATATATATACATATATATATATATATATATTATATTATATATGCATCTGGTCAGAATTGCATTTCACCCTTAAGAATGCACATTACGCAGGATCATGCAATCAACTCAACTGTAATCCCCAATATTACTCCTTATGCATAAAATACATGGATTGTTAAGCCCATTGAGTACTTCTCCTCACTGCAGCTGGCAAACAACCATCTCTTACCGCTCAATGTTGATGTGTCGACGATTGTTTCCGGGGAACCAAGATGGCGCCTGGAGGTCTACCTTCCTCAAGGTTGCTCACAAATCCTCTCTCGACTGCCTCTTTGTCTAATTTTCACTTCCTGACATGCATGTAAAGGTCAAACACAGGCACCAACCTTGGTTAACCTGTCACACTGTCCTCGCCCGAGACAAACAAGCTCTCTCTTTCAACTCTTTTTGACCATGTCGTAGCTCAGTCGATTAAGGCAGCATCTGGGATGATCTCGGACGTAGGTTCGAATCCTCGCCCTTGTGGATTTGTTCTTTCTCGCCAGTTTACTATGGTAGACACCGGCTGACCCTTTCGCTGTCTTCAGAATGTCGCTCCTGGGTCCTCAAATCGAGGTTGACACTGCAATCGCCCTCTTCTCTCTGACAGAACTTTGCTCCGTCACAGTCCACGACACGTCTTTCACCAATGAGCGTGGAACTATAGTTCAAAACTCGAATAGCGTGTGACCCCCCTCAAGCCCACACTCGCAAGTAACGTCTCCACCAATCGTAAAGCCTCTGCTGCTGATACGTCACAGCCTTGTTTCCTCCTCATTGGTCAGTGATGACATCATCCATCTCCTTTCTCCTCGCTACGTTTTTTGTTGTCGCCATCTTTCCTGATCACCTGAACTGTTGCTCTGTGACAAACAGATGTCTCAAACACGCCTCTCCTCCTACATACCACTCCGGTTTACACTGTAGACTGTGCTATACATCCGGCTTCACTTAACAGTATGGTTGAGTGGGGAATAACTCTCCTCCTAGTTACAGGCCATTAGGCTATTTGGGTTCATAAGACTATTATAGTCATAGCACTCCGCTTAGTAGTGCCATATATGTTACTTATATGTTACTTATTATATATCACTTATACTATATCGTGCCTATGTCAAGAGTCTAGTATATATCTTAACAGATTATACTACCTGAGCATCACGATACAAAAAATATTTAATGTTCCCTGTGCACGACTTGTGCTCGACTGCCTCCTCGTCCTACAACCATCCTGTCTATACCTGCAGGTGGATCCCCTGCCTCCACCACACATCTTTACCTAGTTGCTCGTGATGCTCCATTGAATGCTTAAATTCAGGATCAAATTTGCACCAATGAAGCCTAAATTCAGGCATGTCCCAGACGGTGTTGGGTCGTCACGAAGCCTGTTTAACTAACAAAAACCCCTGCTGGCTCCTGTGTACGGTAGTCTGGCTCCTGTGTACGGTAGCCTGGCTCCTGTGTACGGTAGTCTGGCTCCTGTGTACGGTAGTCTGGCTCCTGTGTACGGTAGCCTGGCTCCTGTGTACGGTAGCCTGGCTCCTGTGTACGGTAGCCTGGCTCCTGTGTACGGTAGCCTGGCTCCTGTGTACGGTAGCCTGGCTCCTGTGTACGATAGCCTGGCTCCTGTGTACGGTAGCCTGGCTCCTGTGTACGGTAGCCTGGCTCCTGTGTACGGTAGCCTGGCTCCTGTGTACGGTAGCCTGGCTCCTATGTACGGTAGCCTGGCTCCTGTGTACGGTAGCCTGGCTCCTGTGTTCGGTAGCCTGGCTCCTGTGTACGGTAGCCTGGCTCCTGTGTACGGTAGCCTGGCTCCTGTGTACGGTAGCCTGGCTCCTGTGTACGGTAGCCTGGCTCCTGTGTACGGTAGCCTGGCTCCTGTGTACGGTAGCCTGGCTCCGTGTACCGCTGGCTCCTGTGTACGGTAGCTGCTCCTGTGTACGGTAGCCTGGCTCCTGTGTACGTTAGCCTGGCTCCTGTGTACGGTAGCCTGGCTCCTGTGTACGGTAGTCTGGCTCCTATGTACGGTAGCCTGGCGGCCGCTGACGTAAGTCTGTGTATCTTTGTATTTACGTATGTAGGTTAGCGTAGCATTATAAAAAAAAGCACTACAATCACCTGTGGCTGATTGTTCAATAAACCCCTGAACTATATGTTTAACAGATCTCTCACCTTGTCCATGGAGGACAGAAGTAAATGTATATATGCTGGTTAGCGTTGTAAATGTCCGGCCACGTCTGTGGTAGAAAAATAATAAAAAATAAAAAAAAATAATAATAAAAAACAGGGCTGTTCGCTGTCCTCGCAAAGAGCAGCGCCAGCACTCTCATGTGTGTGCTGGGACACGTGTGTGTGTGTGTGTGGCTGGTGTGTGCTGTGTGTGTGTGTGTGGCTGGTGTGTGCTGGGACACGTGTGTGTGTGTGTGTGTGTGTGTGGCTGGTGTGTGCTGGGACACGTGTGTGTGAGGCTGGTGTGTGCTGGGACACATGTGTCCACAATTCTGGAGGATGGGGGTGGGGGGGGGGGAGGTGAGGGGAGGAGGAGGGGATGAGGGGAAGGAGAAGGGGGGTGAGGAGGGGGGAGCGGGGGTGCTGGGTGGGGGAGAATGGGGGTGGGGGGAAAGGTTGCAGGAGCGGCCATACATCACCATAAAACATAGAGGGATTTTACTTAACAATACTGGCATCATTAATGGCTTTGTTCCCACCCCTGACTCCCTGGTACTCTCTCCTCTACCCTGGCACTGTCTGCTCTACCCTGGCACTGTCTGCTCTACCCTGGCACACTCTGCTCTGCCCTGGCACTATCTGCCCTATCCTGGCACTGTCTGCTCTACCTTGGCACTGTCTGCTCTTCCCTGGCACACTCTGCTCTACCCTGGCACTGTCTGCTCTATCCTGGCACTGTCTGCTCTACCCTGGCACTGTCTGCTCTACCCTGGCACTCTCTCCTCTACACTGGCACTCTCTCCTCTACCCTGGCACTCTCTCCTCTACCCTGGCACTGTCTCCTCTACCCTGGCACTGTCTCCTCTACCCTGGCACTCTCTCCTCTATCCTGGCACTCTCTCTCCTTGTTCCCTGGCACTCTCTCCTCAATCCTGGCACTCTCTCTCCTTGTTCCCTGGCACTCTCTCCCTACAGTGGCACTTTCTCCTCTATGGTGGCTCTTTGATTTATAGTTGCTTTCTTCCCTTCAGTGGCTCTCTCCTCTACAGTTCCAGCATAAGACTGTTGAAGGTTGATTGCCTAGTGTTACAGGTGGCAAATACTAGTTGTCCATAGAGTTGGGCCAGGTCCGGAACTTCAAGGATATTGGCCTTGGTCATAACAGTAAGTCCACCAACGTCCCGACGGTGTTGCAGGCTCTGATGTTCAGACTGTTCCCACTAGACTTAGTCAAGACTTGGAATTAGCCTTCTTGCCTGTCTCTCCATCTTGTACATAAGACTGATGACTCTCTTCCACTCTCCTATCTACATCAGGAGATAATCATGCTGTAATTGACATCCCTCCCCCCCCCCCCCCTCCTCCCTCATAGCAGACACTGAGTGATATGTTTCATCTGCAACTAAATAAGGAGTTGTTTGGGTGAAAAGACAATCAACACACAGACCTTATGATGTAAACAGTTGTAATTGGAAATTCCTTGAGAATGTCGAGTGGGATGTAACCTTAGTGGCAGTAGGTAGAGGGTGAATTGCAGGGTAACAGTCGCCTCAGTCAAGGAAAACGGAAGGGTACTGGCGTACTTTACACTACTGAAATGGAAAACGGACGGGTAATGGCGTACTTTACACTACTGACATGAAAACGGACGGGTACTGGCGTACTTTACACTACTGACATGGAAAACGGACGGGTACTGGCGTACTTTACACTACTGAAATGGAAAACGGACGGGTACTGGCGTACTTTACACTACGAACGTGGTATAAATTTTATCATGTTAGTGTCATTTAGTTTGTTATTAGTTCATGTCAGTGTTGTTCAGTCCCTGACTCCCTGAAGTTCTTCAGTCCCTTAAGTTCTCAACACATAACACTTTAGGCTTCCTTTTAGAGTCAGTAATTTATTTAAGGACTATTATATTTATTGAACTTGCCTAATAAAGTATTGCTTATATCTACACCTAGACAAAATTGTTGTATTTTTCTCTGAGATTAACTCGTGGCACCCAAGATCACCCGCTGGGGGTCAGGTTGAGATTAGATCATGATTAGGTTGACAATAAGTTGAGATAAGGTCAACATTAGGTTGAAACAGGACCCAAAATAATACGACTCCAACTTGTGTTACCAAATTTTATTATCATACACTGTTGTCCAGAGTATTTACTTAGTGGTATAAACATACTTATAAAATACACGATGGCATATGTCACCAACAATACGTGCCAACATGAACTGCCGACATATGCCATCAGAGATGAACGTTAACCACCCCTCCCCCCTCCCTCCTTCCCCCCCCCTCCCTCAAGAGCAACGTTTGTCAAACGACGTTGAACGAATAGTGACGTTACATTGACGGAACGTTTCTCCAGCATATCTTGGCAGACACAGCCTGGCCGGGGGAAACGTTTTACTGAACGTTTGTCCAGGAAACATTTTGACGACTGCTGGGCTCCCAGCTGGCCACCCATATACTCTTAGTTACACATTACTACATGTATCCTCAGTTACACATTAATATATGTGTTCTCAGTGACACATTGGAGCATGTATCCTCAGTGATACATGACCATGTATCACAAGACGACAGATAACCAACATGAGTAAACAAATCAACACAAGGCACGGGGAGGTACTTACATAGATACTCAAAGCTAAATTTACATCAAAGCTTACTTAAACAAGGCAGGTGCGTCCCAGCAGGTGTTGGGGTACACTTAAACAAGGCAGGTGTGCCCCAGCAGGTGTTGGGTACACTTAAACATGGCAGGTGTGCCCCAGCAGGTGTTGGGGTACACTTAAACAAGGCAGGTGTGCCCCTGCAGGTGTTGGGGTACATTTAAACAAGACAGGTGTGCCCCTGCAGGTGTTGGGGTACACTTAAACAAGACAGGTGTGCCCCTGCAGGTGTTGGGGTACACTAACAATTATAATTAACAAAACACGTCAACAGGTGTATGACAAAAATTAAGTTTAGGTGGACGGTGTCCTTCCCTGTATGACACACTGGCTGTATGATATACTGGCTGTATGACACTGGCTGTATGACATACTGGCTGTATGACATACTGGCTATATGCACACTGGCTGTATGACACACTGGCTGTATGACACACTGGCTGTATGACACACTGGCTGTATGACACACTGGCTGTATGACACTGGCTGTATGACACACTGGCTGTATGACACACTGGCTGTATGACACACTGGCTGCCTGAGCCGCATAACACGGCGAAGGAACGTTTAAGTTAAGGTTATGCCACATGAAATATTTTAATATCGAAATAACTTTACATGACATTTGAACCTTGAGGTTACCACCTGGAGGTGACCTGAACGGCCTCCCTGCTGACCAAGGCGCTCGGGCGAGCTGCTCCCTGCTGACCAAGGCGCTCGGGCGAGCTGCTCCCTGCTGACCAAGGCGCTCGGGCGAGCTGCTCCCTGCTGACCAAGGCGCTTGGGCGAGCTGCTCCCTGCTGACCAAGGCGCTCGGGCGAGCTGCTCCCTGCTGACCAAGGCGCTCGGGCGAGCTGCTCCCTGCTGACCAAGGCGCTCGGGCGAGCTGCTCCCTGCTGACCAAGGCGCTCGGGCGAGCTGCTCCCTGCTGACCAAGGCGCTCGGGCGAGCTGCTCCCTGCTGACCAAGGCGCTCGGGCGAGCTGCTCCCTGCTGACCAAGGCGCTCGGGCGAGCTACTCCCTGCTGACCAAGGCGCTCGGGCGAGCTGCTCCCTGCTGACCAAGGCGCTCGGGCGAGCTACTCCCTGCTGACCAAGGCGCTCGGGCGAGCTACTCCCTGCTCTCAACCACTGCCCCCCGCTTGTACTAGGCTTGTCTCACCAAACCTGCCAGCGGAAAGTGGTAGTCCGCACAGAAAAGTGACACACACACACACACAGACACACGCCAGGTGTGTATGGACCACACGTACACCGTGCAGGTGTGTATACACCACACGTACACCGTGCAGGTGTGTATGGAACACCCGGAGCTACACCTGGTGTACATGGAACACACACAAGTAGAGGTAGGTGTTACTGGAGTTAATGGTGGCACATGAAAATATATTATAAGGTAGAGGATGTCCCATGGAGGGTGTCCCCAGGGGTGCCTCAGAGGTGTTCCAGGGGTGCCTCAGGGAGCACTCTAACACTGCACACTGCCCACAGACACTGAGCGTGACACTTGAAGTGTAGGGGTTGCCCACACTCACACGAGGGAAGGGCAACGAAGCTAAATTAACATTTACAGTAGAAACAAATGCAGTCCCCCCGTGAATAGTTAGTTCTTATGTGACGTTTTCCTTTCCACAATAGCCAGGGAGAACGAGGATCTATCAGAGGCACGGTGTGGGCGTGGCGTGGGCGTGGGTTAAAGTGTTGCTGTTTGAGGTGTGAGCCCCGAGCCGCCCATCATGGAAGTCAGGGGATTGCCAAAGCTGTTCTGTAACCCGTTGGTAAGGCCATTGGAGAGCGGGTTGCCGAGGGGACTGGAGAAGCCATTAGCGAGGGAGGAGGAGAGGTGATTAGGGAGGGGGTTGTGGGGGAGGGTGTTGGTCTGGGGCCCGCACGACTGCAGGTACATGTAGTAGTTGTAATTGTTGGCGTCCTGCATGTGGGGGTGCCTAGGCAGGCCGGCCATGTTGACGTGTCCGAGCAGGTCGGACACTGTGTGGGAGGAAGGCCAGTGGGGCCGCATCCCCCCCATGCTGCACGTCGCCCCTCCCATCGGCGGCGACGGCGTGCTGGAGGCTTTACCCGCCGACGACACACTCGAGGCGGGGCCCACAGGAGCGGCTGCTTGCGACACCTGCTGCATCGCCGCAGGCATCGAGGAGTAAGCTGCGGCAGCGGCTGAGTAAGCTGCGGCGGCCGGATACAGTGTGTTGTAGAGCGAGGAGGCCGGGTGCTTGACCTCGTAGTGGCTCTGACCTCCAAGGTGATGCAACGATCCAATCTTGTTGCGCAGAATCCTGGAAACACAAATAAAAAATTATATCAGTCTGCCCTCCTTCTCCCTCTCGCCTCCCACTCAATATCACATGATAAAGCACGTATGACCACTGACCCAAGACTAGTCTAATAGGCCTGGTTTCAGGCAACGTTTGAGGGAGAGCCTACCGTGATGGAGGGAGGGGGGGAGTGGGGGGCGTCCGGGCCAGGCATGGAAGGAGACACATACGTCAGTACAAGCAGCTTGTTACTACACGTCATGGGCACTAGACTAACAATACGGGTTTATTGGTGTTGATGTTTGTGGCGTATGGTAGAGTAGTTACTAGATGGTGGTGTTACTAGTGGTGGTGTTACTAGATGGTGGTGTTACTAGTGGTGGTGTTACTAGTGGTGGTGTTACTAGTGGTGTTACTAGATGGTGGTGTTACTAGTGGTGGTGTTACTAGATGGTGGTGTTACTAGTGGTGGTTGATTTCACAAAGTAATTCTCCCCTCACCCCCCCTTCCCGTCCCCCACACTGTATCTGGGGAAGCCAGGGGTCCACCCCTGCACCTCCCCCAGCAGTCTATTCTTGACCTATCCCACTCAAGAAGGGGGTGGACGAGCAAGGAAAGTTAACTCCTGGTCTAATAGACAGTAGAGAAGCACAGGAAAGGAACAGAAAAATGGACAAAATACAGAGAGGTGGGAACACATGAAAACAGAAGCGCACTAAAGAGATCCAGAAATGATTACACCAGAGTCAGGAGGGAAGGTGAGACAACTTGAAAACGACATAGTACCATAAGCTAAGGATAACTCAAAGCTGTTGTAAAGCCAATTAAGGATAAAGACAGTCGAGAGACTTCGTGATAAAGGTAAAGAGACAAGGGGGCAAGTCTCACGGAAAACGATATTGAAGTGTGTGAGGAATTTAACAAAAGATTTCAGCAGGTCGTTGCAATGGAACCAATCTGCAGACCAGAGTGATAAAAATCCAGAGGAAACACGGGATGACACAGTAGTCATTATGGAAGAGGATTACAAACACCTGAAGGAACTAGATGCAATAAAATCATTTGGGTCAGACTTGATATCACCATGGCTACTGAAGAAGGATGCAGAAGTGTTAAGTCACCCGCTAACTGATGTTTTTAATAAAACAATCGATGTCAAAATATTGAGGCATGTAAAAACAGAGGAGGACTGCAGAATGTTACGAGAAGCCCTTGATCAGCTCCATAAGTGGGCACACGAATGGTAGCTGGAGTTCAAGCCTAATAAATATAATGGATGGAAAATGGGGGAGGAAGAAAGAAGACCAGAAAGTGTCTACAACAGTAATGGCAGACAACTGCGGGAATCGGAGAAAGAGATTTGTGAGTGGATATAATTCCATCACTAACACTTGAAGCACACACAGGGAGGGTGACATCGGTGGCATATGGGACGCTGGCGAACAGAATAACGTCCTTTAGTAACCTAAATCAGGACGCTTTCAAGGCAATCTACTCGGCTATTGCTAGACCAATACTGGAATATGCAGCACCGGCCTGGAATCCATACCTTGTCAAATATAAAACTAAAATTGAAAAAAGTGCAGAGGTTTGCTATTAGAATAGTGCCAGAGCTAAGAGGGTTAAGCTATGAGGACAGGTTGAAGGATCTGGACCGTACAACCCGAGAGGACAGAAGAAACAGAGGAGACATGATAACAATGTTGAAGATACTGAGGCCTCTGGACACAGTGGACAAGGACTTAAGTTGAGAGAAAGTAGGACAATAGGGCACAAGGGAAGGACTCTTTCGAGTCGAAAGAAGATGTAGAAGAGAACTCGTACTCTATACGGGCTGTCAACAAGTGGAATTCTATGAGAGAAGTTGTGGAAGCCGCCTCCATCCAGAACCCCCTTGCACCTCCACAAGCAACCCATTCCTACATTTTATCCAGCAGCCCAGCCCACCCCTGCCCTCTCCGCCTGGAGCAGCCAGGACCCACCTCAGTACATCTCCCAGCAACCCACCCCCTACACCTCTCCCTCAGCCCCCCCCTGCACCCCATCCCTCCCTCCCCCCCCCCTCCGGTGTAGCACCATAAATAGTTTTATTTAATTCACTCATAACAGTGTAGTGAAGTGACTGTGGAACTTGTAGCCGCCAGTCCTGACAATAGAAACTCGCATATTAGTGCGTTAATTGTGGTGGCTGAGCCGGGGGTGGTAGGCGCTCGTAGACGACCTGCCTCTCCCCCTCCACACACACACACTGCTAAGCTGATCACTGCAGGCGGTGTGCTTGTATTCCCCACCTTCCCTCCATCATCAATCGAGCCGCCTGTCTTGGTGTGGGAGTCAGGTAGCTCTTGGCCTGTCCACCGCCTGTCTGGTGGATAGAGCCTAGCTCCCTGAACCTAGATAAATAGGCCAGCTCTTTCACTTTCACGACAGACAGAGGAGTCTCACTTTACACTGAGAGTTCAAGCCTTCAACCTTATCCCAGCCTGGTTGACCAGTCCAGCAACGAGGAGGCCTGGTCGACGACCGGGCCGCGAGGACGCTAAGCCCCGGAAAAACTCAAAGGTAACTCCAAGGTTACGGAGCCTAATCACCAGGTCGGTGTGAGGAAGCTGAGATCTACTCATATTTGATATGCATAAAGTAATAGGAAAAATAAATGTCGACTATTAAATTCGTGAATGCTTGCCTTTACCTGTTGTATTTTGCAACTTGAATTTATTTTTAAAGTCATGCAGTGTAAGTTAGAGTGAAGGGAACTCACTGAGTTCAACCTGGTGAGTATTACTTGGCTGCGTGTTTAAGGTCTGGAAGATAATTGGCTGAATTAAAAGATTTGAGATTTTAATGTTATGATCACTGAGAGGTAACAGATGGGAAGACAGTTCCCTTTCTGTCTATAACTGAATGGATGCCGGCAGCTCCTGTTTCTCTTCTCCTGGCTCTTACCCTTTCTCTTCTCTCCAATAGTACTAATCCCACCCTTCTTTCCTAGCTTCCATCTATCCTTTAAATCCTAGTTTCTATTCTGCCCTGCTACCCTAGCCTCTACCCTAATTCTCTGAATTTCTCTCCTACTATTCCTCCTCCCATTCCATGTCTCCATTCTCCTATTTTCCTGTTATATTTCTGTTTATTCCATTTTTTAATTATTCTGCAGAATTACACCAGCAGCCCAGCAGCCTATCCCAGCACCCCAGCAGCCTATCCCAGCAGCCCAGCAACCCCAGCAGCCTATCCCAGCACCCCAGCAGCCTACCCCAGCAGCCCAGCAACCCCAGCAGCCTATCCCAGCAGCCCAGCAGCCTATCCCAGCAACCCCAGCATAACCCACCTGGATATAGAGGAGACGCTGGGAACGTTGTACTTGTCACAAACACCATCCTTGAGGAGCCGCTCTCTGATCTCCCAGGCGAAGATTCCCGGGTCTTTCTGCTTGAGGTCCTTGATGTAGCTCACCACCTTCGGCGTCGTCACCCGGGGCTTCGAACCCCCGATGGCTCCCGGGAGGATGGAACCCGTCTCGTTGTACCTGTCGCCAGGGGGAACACACAGGAATCAGCTGACGGAACTCACTGTCAATATTATTGTTGTGGTCCATGGGGGGACGGGGGCTGCGACGGTAAGGGGCCGCATGCGGCCTTCCGGGGGAACTCAGCCAAGGCTTTTGAAGGCACTTTAACAATTCATGTGAAATACTAGTAATTACTGAACACTTATAATGTTTAAATAGTCAGACCTTATAATCGAAACACTTCTGCCAAGATTTTGCAAAATGAATGAAAGAAATTCCTTCCTGCCGTACTAAAAAAATGTTGCCTTTCTAATCATTTTTTTTAATATAAGCAAGCATTGCTAGCATGTTAAAATTCGTTAAATTTAACGAGAATTTATGAAACACTTGATCTGTTTTTACTCCTTGAAAGTTAGTTTTTTGACATATTGGAGCGTAAAGAGGACATAGTGTAATATGTGGTCTTAAATTCGCTAAGCGGACTATGGCCCTTGTATGGCTAAAGGTTCTCCCACTCCTGCTTTATACTAGAGTTTGAGTAATCGAGGGCTTGACTTCGAGTACTCGAGGCCCAACTTCAAGTACTCGAGGCCCGACTTCGAGTACTCGAGGCCCGACTTCGAGTACTCGAGGCCCGAGTCTGAAACTATCACTATCATTATAGTAGTTTGTACTGACCTGGCGAGGATCTTGGAGACGCAGCCGTGGGAGACTCTCAGTTGGCGGGAGATGTCACACGGTCGGATGCCCAGCTGAGCCAGCTCGATGATGCGCATGCGGATGTGGTTGGGCAGTGGCCGGCCGTTGACGAAGACTCCGCCTAGCTGGTTGACCTCCCCGTACTGCTGTATCTGTGGGTCTGGGAGACATGCTCTGTTAGTCACTGTACCCTTCAATTATTTTTTTTTAAATTTTACCCCGAGGGGCGAGTTTATTAGGCAGCGTCACTCATCCTGTGAGTTAACACACCGCCATAGTGACAGTATTAGGCAGCGCCACTCATTCTGTGAGTGAACACACCACCATAGTGACAGTATTGGTCAGCGTCACTCATCCTGTGAGTGGACACACACCGCCATACCAGCATATACAATACTCCCCAATAGGAAGAAAACCCGCTGGGTTGTTCATCCTGTCACTTGTACCCAGACACAGCTGGGACTTGCTTAACTGTCTCAAGTGAACAGCTCCTTAAACAAGAAGATTAACATTATCAACCCTTAAAATCATATGTTATCTTGCGGGTGCAAAATGAGGGAATCTTTTAAGAACAGTATCAATATTTGACAAATAGTGTTTTCCTAACTCAAACAATGTGGAGTTTATTATTCTACACATGTTTCTAATGACTCTTAGATGTCCACATTCTCTCGGGTAGTGGTCAAGGCGGTGTCCGTCACTCTCACCACAGATTCTGCAACTTCGCTGATCAAACTGTTGTTTCCATTCCGAATCACCATGGATATTTGTATCCAAGATGGATTCTCGCTATTACTGATTCTCTCCCGCGGCCACCTCCTCTTCGTCTATATTGATTGGGATTGCCAGCTGCAACCACATTGTACCAGCGTACAGATTCACTGATTTGTTCTTCTATCCTCCTTTCCTCAGTTACCTTGTTACGGTGATAAGGTTCACGTAATCTCTTTGTAAGGCTTCAGTATCATTTTTGTTTCCCATTTTACCATAGACCTTAAGTGTCATACGGAAATCTGATGATGTGGTTTGTAATAAAACTGGATATCGGAGATCACTTAGTCTCACGGAAGGAAGAAGCCAGCGTTGCGGTCGCGGAATCGAACACGCAAGTTCCATCGTGTTCCCCCCACCAGCCCACACCAACCCCCGCCAACCCATCCCGACTCCTGACCGGTGACTTAACCACACCCACGTCCTCCCCAACACCGAAATACTTGCATTTCCTCCAATATCTCTCCTCATTTAGCATTTTTCCCCTAGAGATCTAAGGCTTATCATGCCGAAAAATCAACAAAAGTCTAAGACTGAATGAGACACAGGAGGAGATGGCGGGAGGAGACGAAATGGCGGTGAGCAGCCATGTTGGCGGGCTGCTGCTGCAGCAGCTGGCGGGAAGGGGTCGCGCTAGACATATTGAGTTATTTGAGGGGTTATCTGGCCCGTCTCCCCTCTGACACCCCTTTCATTACTTCCGTAAATGTTTAGCCTCAACAATAGGAAGGTCAGGGTAGGCCGCAGACCGGAAGGTATTTAAGGGTGGATGTTTGGGCTGCCTGTGGTGGCTGGTATTATGTTTGTTTACGTGTGAGACGAGAAGTACCCGACAACTTAAATTCAAATAATTACAGCGATTATTTACCTTAGAGGAAGTATTACAGTACAACATGTAATGGAAGTTTATATATTGTGTGAACCTTATACAACCCACACTTGTGAACAAAAGGAAGTGACAATGTTTTTGACCATTATTCAAACCTTCTCTGCCCAACCACTTGGGCTGGACGGTAGAGCAACGGTCTCGCTGCATGCAGGTATCGGCGTTCAATCCCCCGACCGCCCAGGTGGTTGGGCACCATTCCTTTTCATTCAGCACCGCCCCTGTGCCAGGTAAGTCCACTACGGGCTCACCATAGCCCGTGCTACTTGCCCCGCTCCTGTGCCAGGTAAGTTACGGGCTCACCATAGCCCGTGCTACTTGGAACTTGTTCCGAGTAGCTGAATCTATAACAACAACAACTATTCCTTTCCTCCGTCCCATCCCAAATCCTTATATCCTGACCCCTTCCCAGTGCTATATAGCCGTAATGGCTTGGCGCTTCCCCCCTGATTAGGTCACCATTACTACAATCACTGTCACCATTACCACAATCACTGCCACCATTACCACAATCACTGCCACCATTACCACAATCACTGCCCCCATTACCACAATCACTCACCATTACCACAATCACTGTCACCATTACCACAATCACTGTCACCATTACCACAATCAGTCACCATTACCACAATCACTGCCACCATTACCACAATCACTGCTACCATTACCACAATCACTGTCACCATTACCACAATCACTGCCACCATTACCACAATCACTGCCCCCATTACCACAATCACTGCCCCCATTACCACAATCACTGTCACCATTACCACAATCACTGTCACCATTACCACAATCACTGTCACCATTACCACAATCACTGCCACCATTACCACAATCACTGCCACCATTACCACAATCACTGTCACCATTACCACAATCACTGTCACCATTACCACAATCACTGCCACCATTACCACAATCACTGCCACCATTACCACAATCACTGCCACCATTACCACAATCACTGCCACCATTACCACAATCACTGCCACCATTACCACAATCACTGCCACCATTACCACAATCACTGCCACCATTACCACAATCACTGTCGCCATTACCACAATCACTGTCACCACACAAACACGGGACTCGGCACGATTTAGGGGGTTAAGATATTCGTTTTAGGGGGCTGTCGGGGCCAATTTCAGCCCGTTTGAGGGCTGTCTCGCCGGGGTGGGGGGAGAGGGGAAGGGGGGGGGCGGGGGTGGTGGATGGTAGTGAATGGGTGACGGTGCTTACCTAGTTGTGCTTGCGGGGGTTGAGCTTCGGCTCTTTTGGTCCCGCCTTTCACTCGTCAATCAACAGGTGTACAGAGTCTGCTGGGCTCTGTCATGTTTACATATGAAACTGTGTATGGAGTCAGCCTCCACCACATCACTGCTTAATGCATTCTATTTGTTAACTACTCTGACACTGAAAATGTTTTTTCGAATGTCTGTGTGGCTCATATGGGTCCTCAGCTTCCACCTGTGTCCCCTGGTGCGTGTACCACCAGTGTTAAATAATCCTTCTTATCTAGTCTGTCAATTACTCTGAGACTTTTGTATGTAGTGATCATGTCTCCCCAACTTCTACTGTCTTCCAGCGACGTGAGGTGTAATTCACGCCGGCTTTCCTCGTAATTCATGCCTCTTAGTTCTGGGACTAGTCTAGTAGCATACCTCTGAACTTCCTCCAGCTTCGTCTTATGCTTGACAAGGTGCGGGGCTCCATGCTGAGGCCCCATACTCCAGGATCCACATAAGTCATTTTCATATTGTCTTTCTGCCTGTCTTCTCACCCTGACGTATTCATTCCTGGCCCTCTGGTAACCTTCTCTGCTCTCTAGTGCCCTGATATGTCTATAGGTCCTCCACGCCCTTGTAGTTTGTTGCTTTGCTAGCTTACATCTCTGATTAAACCATGGGCTTCTTAGTCTGCATTTTGTTTTTATCCTTTTGGACCGGGATGAACTTGTCTGCTGCCTCCTTACACATGTGTGTGATGAAGTCCATCATGTCTTGGGCCGTCCTTCCCCTGAGCTCTGTTTCCCATGTTATATCTGTTAGGAATTATCTGAGAGAGCACCCACCCACCCAGCACCCACCAGGTGGGTGGTGGGTGGTGCGTTGTGAGGTGAGCCCAGATGCACGAGCTGGGAAGCGCTGTGAGGTCGTTCTTATCCCAAACTTCTCAGCTCGTAAACTGCTTAAAATGACAAAGAAAGCCGCCACGATCGAGGAGAGATGTAGAGGTTTCGTTTGTGGGGAGGTAAGTGGATGGTAGGAGTCCTGTGCTGGGGTCGGGTAGCGGCGTCTTGTCGGGAGGGTGACGGGGGAGAGGAAGTCTGTAGAATACGATCCCCGGGGGTGTGGGGGAGGGTGTGTGTGTGGGGGAGGACATGTGGGGGAGGACATGTGTGTGTGGGGGGGAGGACATGTTTGGGGGAGGACATGTGTGGGGGAGGGCGTGTGTGGGGGAGGGCGTGTGTGGGGGAGGGTGTGTGGGGGGCTGACACAGGAGGAAGAGCGACCAGACCACACCACCACCACACTAAGTGGTGTGGTCGAGGCGGCCAGCCACATGGTGCCAGGGGTGAGGGAGGCAGGAGGCACCCCCCTCACCCCACACCCACACACCCAAATGAGCCACAGGGACGTCAGTAGGAACATTTTCAGTGTCAGAGTAGTTAATAAATGAACTGCACTAGGCAGTGATGTGGTGGAGGCTGACTCCATACACAGTTTCAAATGTAGATATGATAGAGCCCAGTAGGCTCAGGAACCTGTACACCAGTTGACTGACAGTTGAGAGGCGGGACCAAAGAGCCAGAGCTCAACCCCCGCAAGCACAATTAGGTGAATACAACTAGGTAAGCACACACACACGACTGCCTTCAGAAGAACTGGCTTCAGGAACCTGTGTAAGGAATCATTCAGAACTTTGTATACCACGTATGTGAGACCAATCCTGGAGTATGCGGCCCCAGCATGGAGCCCGTACCTTGTCAAGCACAAGACGAATTTCCGAGTATGCAAGAGGTAAACCATGAAGCAAGGCCCCAGTACTGTACCGTGAAGCAAGGCCTGTGGGTGCTCAGTTAACTCTAAGACTAATATGAAGACAGTTGCAGCGAGGGGGGGACGCCTGGCACCTCTCCCCTCATCTCCTGAGGGGTGCCATCCCCTCCCCCTGTTGGAGGACCTCTCCCCCTTCCCTACCCGGGCACCCCTTTCCTCACCACCATGAGGGGAACTCCTCCACTCACTCCCATATCCGCCCCTCATCCCCTCTCTCTCACTTCCCAGTGTATTAGAGGGGAAAGAATGAGCGACGAAGGATGAAACAATAGTGGAATGGCCGCTAAACACCGGGAAGAGGAGGCTGGAGACCTCCGGGAGATTTATCTCCGAGATGTCATCCCTTGGGCCAGCATCAAGGGGCTGCCGCGCACCACACACACACACACACACACACACACACACACACACACACACACACACACACACACA